CCATTCATATTTTTTGGATTTGCATATACAGAGTGACTCAAAAAAATTAATGAATGCGTAAATATATTTTAATGATTTAATCAGGAACTACAAAACGGAATGCTCTGACATCTTGCACATGTTTTAAGGTTATAAAGAGCATAATAAATGTTTAGTCAAAATATATTTGCTTATCCCCTCCAAAAACTTGATGACGTCAGCTCGAAAATTTTCCGAATAAATCATATCTAAAATGTACAAAATATGATCAGTCTGTACTTGTGATCTATCACTCCATTCATATTTTTTGGATTTGCATATACAGGGTGATTCAAGAAAATAAATGAAAGCGTAAATTTATTTTACTGATTTACTCAGGAACTACAAAACCGAATGCTTCGAAATCTTGAAGATATTTTAAAATTATCATAAGCATGGTAAATTTTTGATCAAAACGTATTTGGTCGTCCCCCCTAAAAAATTTATGACGTCACCACAAAATTTTGCTGAATAAATCCTATCTAAAATGTACAAAATATGGTGAGTCTCTTCTTGTGATTTATCATTCCATTCAAATTTTTTCGATTTGCATATACAGGATGACTCAAAAAAATTAATGAATGCGTAAATTTATTTTATTGATTTAATCAGGAACTACAAAACCGAATGCTTTGAAATCTTGGGAATATTTTAAAGTTATTATAAGCATGGTAAACTTTTGTTCAAAATGTATTTGTTCATCCCTCCTAAAAAAATTGATGACGTCACCCTTAAATTTTGCTGAATAAATCCTATCTAAAATGCAAAAAATATGATGAGTTTGTACTTGTGATTTATCATACCATTCATATTTTTTAGATTTTCTTAAGAGGTGGTTCAAAAAAATTAATGAAGTCAATTTATTTTATTGATTAAATGAAAGGCAACACTTATTATTAGTATTACACCCCAACCAACCCAATTTGGTAGACACAAAATTTGTTAAAGGAAAAACTGGGTTGAAACATAAGGGCAGCACGCTTATTCACATCGACTTTAACATTACAGACCTGCATTTGTTTTATGCGTTCACTTGGTTCCGCGAATGTGAAATAGACATGTTTATAATCAACCAATTGTGAATTTCACCGTCAAGAATTAAAATAAAACCCAATGTTTTATATAATAAGCGGAAGTCGAAGCAATAAAACCGATGGTCGTTTTGTTTACAGTTTCTCTGTTTGACTCTCACGTATGCTGTTACGCCTGTCATCTTAAATTAAGAATGTTTATACATACACGATTTTCAGTTGCCTCTGATACGTATACGTGAGTAAATTGTTTCGTTATTTTATTGATTATTACAAATCAATATTCGAAACGACCCAATTCATTTTCCAGAAAATTTGAGAATATAATAATTTTATTCTTAGTATTACACTACATCTATCCCAACTGATATACGTGTCTTTGCAAAAATGTTGATGACGTCATCGCAATTTTTTTTTAAATTCCCACTACAAAAATGTAATGAGAAAAAAACACAATAGGCATGCAGTCGTCAAGTTTCCGACAGCGAGGGAAGTACTGTCTAAACTCTTTAGACCAATTTTTTTAGGAGGGATGAACAAATACATTTTGAACAAAAGTTTACCATGCTTATAATAACTTTAAAATATTCCCAAGATTTCAAAGCATTCGGTTTTGTAATTCCTGATTAAATCGATAAAATAAATTCACGCCTTCATTAATTTTTTTGAGTCACCCTGCATATGCAAATCCAAAAATATGAATGGAATGATAAATCACAAGTACAGACTCATCATATTTTGTACATTTTAGATATGATTTATTCGGAAAACTTTTGAGCTGACGTCATCAGTTTTTTGTAGAAGATAACCAAATATATTTTGACTAAAAATTTATTATGCTCTTTATAACCTTAAAACATCTGCAAGATTTCAAAGCATTCGGTTTTGTAGTTCCTGATTAAATCAATAAAATAAATTTACGCATTCATTAATTTTTTTGAGTCACTCTGTATATGCAAATCCAAAAAATATGAATGGAGTGATAAATGACAAGTACAGGCTCATCATATTTTGTACATTTTAGATATGATTTATTCGGCAAACTTTCGAGCTGACGTCATCAAGTTTTTGGAGGGGATAAGCAAATATATTTTGACTAAACATTTATTATGCTCTTTATGACCTTAAAACATCTGCAAGATTTCAGAGCATTCGGTTTTGTAGTTCCTGATTAAATCAATAAAATATATTTACGCATTCATTAATTTTTTTGAGTCACCCTGTATATGCAAATCCAAAAAATATTAATGGAGTGATAGATCACAAGTACAGACTCATCATATTTTGTACATTTTAGATATGATTTATTCCACAAACTTTTGAGCTGACGTCATCAAGTTTTTGGAGGGGGTAAGCAAATATTTTTTGACTAAAGATTTATGATGCTCTTCATAGCCTTAAAACATCTGCAACATTTCAAAGCATTCTGGTTAGCAGATTAAAAATTAAATTTCAAAATGTTGTTTTATAATTTTGATTTTTTTTCCAAAAATCTGGACGTTTCGGGTGAAAAGTCGATTCGGAGTTGTAAACTACATGTGTAGGACTATGTTATTTTATACAATTGAAAACCCATTTACTATGTACAATTTTGAAGTGACGTCATCGCATTAGTGGTGGGGATGATTAGACAAATTTTGGTTAGCGTTTTACCATCTACATGATATTCTTAATATAAGTACAAAATTTCACAACAATCGGTCGAGTACTTTCGGAGATTATCTGTCTAATAAAAATCCGTGACAACAGACGGGCAGACGGACAGACGGACAGACGGACAGACGGACAGACGGACAGACGGACGGACAGACGGACAGACGGACAGACGGACAGACGGACAGACAGACGGAAATGGGAGACCTATTTCTTCGTCTTCTAGGGGTCATGAAAGATCGAGAAAACGTAAAAGTAGAGAGTCGGCCGACGGACTCGATTACAATACTTCCTTTGCTTACGCTCGGGAAGTAAAAAAAGTTCTTTTACGGCGCACTAAACGAATGAGAAGGGCTAAAACTAATAATGTTAAAAATGTGAAAGCTAAAAAGGACAATATTAACAAGAGCACAAGATATTACGAAAAGGTGGCAAGATCATTTCAGAAAATTAGAAGCATATTAAAAAAGGCAAAATTCAAATACATAATCGGCTTCTAGTTTCGAGCATGGTTTGTGGTAATAAGTATTTTTAAAAGCAGAATAAATAGAAGCAAATCTTAAAAAAATTAATCCATGAGAAAGAACGAAAATTTCTGGAAAAACAAACAGGAAAAGATACGACACCTCTGAGTGTGATTTGAGATTATGTCATCAACTTTTCCAGGAGGATGAATGATTAAATCTTAGTTAGTATTCTGTGGTCACGAAAAGGAAATTGTTCTTATGGAGCGATAGGTGGTTGAACAACTTACGAGTCTTGTTGAATGGATTTATTTGTTGTATTACGTATCTCGTGTCTTGAAATTCTGTAAAATGTAGTCCTTGTAAAAACATTTGTGCGCGCTGTATACTTTTATAAAATTACATAATTGTTCTATAATATAAATGGCAAATATATAAAAAGAGATTCTTAGAGAGATCGATAAAGTTTTGAGATATTATTAAAACGTTTTGATTTATCCTTTGTTTATAGATCAAAATATGACGAAAAATTTTATGCGTGGTAACTATTTTACCAGCAACGGTACGTTTGCTGGTCGTGCGTGATCAGCGCGTGATTTTGTTTTACACTTTCTAAAATATGTAATAATTAATCCCAAAATTATAGTTACAAGAGCTCCCCGCAAACAGTAGTAGGCGTAAGAAATTCGAAAAAAGAAAAATGGTTGATTCGCACTGAAGTCATCCCTAAAAACATAAACAGGTAATACAAATAACTAAGCAATGGCGATATTATATTTACAATTTCGTTGTCGAATTAACAACATCCAGCCCATCGACATTGTAACTGTTGCTGGTAAAATTTTCATGAAAAGAATTTGAGTATTTTGAAGCCATGGAAAATGTGTTATCGGTAACATTGCAGCCACTGACTCTCAGTTCCTTAGCGGGATATACGAACACTTGTTTTTGTTTATAATATATAGAAGGAAAATATATAGCAGATACAAAAAGCACACCTCCAATTGTCCCGTAGAACGCGCTCTAAAAATAAAAGTTTTTCAGCCCGATAATAAATATGTACGCACGTTAGTAACCGTAGAGTCTACTTGTGGAAAGTATATTCCTAAGGTATATAATCCCAACGATGGTCCATCTATTAGTCCTGTAATAGCAACGGCTAAAGGCAGAATTTCGCCCAAATACTGAATAACGAAAGTCATAGAATTGCACCAAATTCCCTCAATAATTATAATAACTTTCATAATTGTCACATTGGTTTTGTCAGTAAACGATTTCTTTGAAAAATTTCTGACAAAGTCGTTATAAATAACACCAGATAACGAATTTAAACTTGACGATAAGGTACTAAAAATACACAAGTAATTTTTTAAGTTAGTAAACATCTTGCTGTAACCTTATTGCAGAACTTAATAGTGCAGCCATAAATAACCCAGAGATACCTGATCTTTTTTTTGCACTTGTTCTACATAGTAAGCTACAATTTGGTCATTTTTTGTAATCTTTTTATCCATTACAGGATCGCAGTTGTGGTAGTTATTATTATTAGACGAACAGAAACGACACATATGTTAACTACACACCAACACACGCCAGAGAGTGAAAGGGAACTATTGTACACATTTAGACAAAAAACAAAATGAACAAAACAAAAATTGTCATACCATCTACAACGGCGGAGTGTTGAAAGACTCATATATTTTTGGACGCTCGATTGAGATAAACAAATGTAAAACAAAAATCTAACCGCGAGACCCACTGTACATATCCAGAATGAGTCTTTTTTTGTTGGGTCTGGGTCGAAACTACAAGATTAATTATGTTAAAAAAACAATCATTGTAAGAAAATAGTACTCAAAAATATCAAGTCGTTTTCCGGATACTGATTTATTCCAAACTGATGAAATACCTCCCGCTGAGTTAATTCCTTCGCCAAAAACTGTTAAAAAAGCTACCATAACTACGATAAACTGAAAAATGTCTGTCCAAATCACTGTTCGTAAACCTCCAACAGCTGTATAAAACACGCATGTACCACATATTAACAAGACTATCAACTGTACATTAATTCCTGTAACTAATATTTTGGTTATAATTCTGTGCCTTCTTTATGAACATTTTCACCTACCAACTGACAGTGCTAATGCTGGAGTGTAAACGATTACAGGAAGTAAAAGATTTTCGTACAAAATGTACAAAAAAGAACTAAACAATCTGATTTTACGATTAAACCTTACTTCCAAGTATTCATAAATACTACTATAGTCGCGTTTAAACAATACAGGATAATAAACATACATTGAAGCAATAACCAAAAGAACAGCAGACAAGCATGTTAATCCATAGAATGCTCCATACTTGTAAACATCTGCTGGAACTGCAATTAGGGTAATACCAGAAAAGTGACTAAAATAATGTAATGTAGGTGTGTGCAGAAAAAGTAAATGTCGTACCTGACTGTTACCGATAGAGCTATTGGAACAATTTTCATTTGTTTTCCTCCGCAAAGGTATTCTTTAAATGTTGACTGTTTAGTACCGAAACAACCAAAATAAATACCAATCAACACGCTTGTGATGAGTACAAAGAAAACCAAAAAATAGTCGTACCAGTAGAACATTGTGTCTTGTTTAGCAAATGTGGTTAAACTTTCTGCTCTGATTTAGTAGTGCGAGTAGTTTATTTTAATAAATTTGATAAAAAACAAGTGTAAGTACAAGTGTCATAAAAAGGTACATTAAAATTGTTAACGTTGACAAAATGTGACCCAAGGCGATAAAAATTCAAATGGGTTTTGTGAAATTTACACAACAAAGAGCTGCAGTGTCGATACCAAAACATTAAACTAAAAAAACATATTTTTTCTGCTTCTCTATTCTAAAATTTGATTACCTTATTTAACATTTTGCTCGTCTGTTCTTGTCTTCTTTGTAATCGTTTCTGAGAATTATTCAGTGGTTTAAAGAAAAGTGATATTTTACATGTTTTTTTTTTGTTGTTCACAGAGGATTCAAGATAATGAAGAATAAATAGGTTGTATAGGGTATGTATTTAGAATAAATTGACCAAATTAGTTACCTAGTAGTTAATTTTAGTCTTCACCATATGTAATTTAATTTTGGAGCTTGGAGACGTTTCTAGTCTTTGCAGTAAGATACGGGAAGGGTACTCTAAAGATGACAACGCTTTCAGCACATTAACTAACATTTCTGTGAAGATTAAAAAAATTACAAACTGCTTCAAAAAAGAAGAAAAATAACTCAGGTAGATTTTATATTAAGGAAATGTCTCCAAATTATCATTCATTATCTAATTAATTACCATAGTAGTTATTTATAGAACATTTTATACTTATCAGTAAAAAGTAGACTCATAAATATCAAACTTTAGTTGTTAGTATAGGTGTATATTAATGTAGATTAAAATGACTTTGTAAATACTTTTTATCGGTAATACATGGCACTGAAATTTCTGAAAAGGTAAAAAACGATAAATAATTGACATGTTTATATTATCATCTATACAGTATACATATATTGTTAAAAAGTAAAATTTAATTGATGAGGTTCAAGGGTCTAACTTGGGACCTCCATGATTCCTAATATTAATTAATGATACAAAAACTTGTCTTCGTCAAATTTGAAGAGATACTTACAGAAAATGGTAAAAAAAGGTGAATTATCTTCAACTTATTTTCAGTAAATATTCAATAAATTTTTACTATTTCATAACAATTCTCACCATATAATTTAATTATTACGGGAACACTGTTAACGCTAAAAAAATCTAGAATGTCAATGAATTAAAAACACATACAAATGCTTACGTAACAACTAAGACTTAGCGCAAATTCGAACGAGCGAGGTGAAAAGCCAACTTTTAAAAATAACCGTCGGAAAATAATAATAGTTTAACACATGAAATATTTTTATATAAATACTTATTTACGGACACCATAAAATTCCCCCACAACAACAACTACACAGTGTGCAGATATCAAATACCGAATGACTACTAATCTTTATGACTTTTTGTCAGGTTGGTAATACAAGGTGACTGCGAAATACATGCAAAAAAAAAATGGGGAATAGCTCACAATATGATTATGTCACTGGGTAAAATTCACGGTCCTAAGTAGTAGCAGTGTCTAGAAAAAATTATTTGAAATTCAATGTAAATTGTTGTACGCGCCGCTGGACTGTTTTGTGACCTACATAATTACTACAATGAATGGAACAGAGCGAGTCGGTTAAAGAACCAAAAAAGTTACTTTATCAGGCACTTTTTTAATCGCAACGTGAAAAACACGAAAAGGGCCAGTTAGCATCGAGCGGTCGGTGAAATCGGTTTATGGTGTAGTTTTCCCATGCAGATTGTGTCGATATGGTAATGGGTGCATCAGTGGTACAGCATCTCCGAGATCATGGTACCTTCAACCTCAAACTCACGATCGTGGCCGTGATAGGACAGAAAGAAGAAGTTGGATTTTCACAGCTTGTAGTGCATCCTACATTAAAAGAATACGGCCACATCCATACCATGTTGACAAAGTGCACGGTTTGGAGTCCACTGATTGTTCACGTTGTGTAACTCACTTTTTGTCCGATGGAACTCCACGTAGTCGTCAACAAGTACGATTTCAAGAGACGGTTTTCGATAAATGTGTATCAGTTGGATGAAACAGTTCGTTTGTGGAAATCAACAGTGTCCAGAAATTATCGAAGAGCTTCAACAAGTGAAAGTGACACCCGCTACTCCGGTGTTTTTTTACCTATCAACAAACCTCTTGCGACGCTCTGACGCCTGTATTGCTAGTCAAGGACAACATTTTCAACATTTCTTGTAAAAAGGTAGTAGCATTCTAAGTTGCTCTTATTTCTGTTCCAATAAACAACGTAAAATCGTTGTGACAAGGACCAAACATCCGTCAGAATCAAAATTACCAAAAAACTTTCACACTGACCTTTAACGATGAATGAGTAAATGAATGAACGAATGATAAGCAGCAAAAAGTCGGTTGTACTTTTCATTGAAACTGAAAGTGTTTAGGTCGTTTTTATTCGAACGTTTTTCCAACTCTGTTTACAAGGTGGCTCAGTGCCTTCGTATCGAGGGTGGTTCATGGGGGTTTTGCCCCATTCGATTTTTAATTTCTTTTTTCTATATTTCGGCTCTACTAGGGTGGGGGGTGCCGTGGTTAAAATATTTGCACTTATTTCGCAGTCACCCTGTATATCTAAAACTTTATGTTGGTGTACCTGATGTCGAATTCAAATTTTAGACACCAATTCTTGCAATCTTCCTTGGTTTTTAGATGCGCTTATTTCAAAATTGAACAATAGTTTAGAATTTCCAATCCAAAAATTTGCTTCAATAATCACTCGGTATTTTAATTTAAAAAATATTCACTGCCTTAAATCTAAACTTATTTTTACACCATTTGCTGACTTCAACACTGACTCAGCGGCCAATACCAAAGTATGTTGTGGAATGGCAGGCTTTAACTTAAATTTTCGAAGGATTTTAGAAATAGTGCATTTAATTTCCAACATTGCGAACTTTTGACCTAAAAAAATACGAGTGATACAATTTTTGATACATTTTGAAGTATGTATAATTAAGTATACAGTTCATTTGACAAATCTAAGACTGTTCAGTAAACCACCTTTTAATAGGATTTTCAAACAATGTTATTTTGAAAACGGAGACTTTTATTACAACATTTTCTTGTTACCATCTAATCTCTGAAACCACGTGTAATTTGTGAAAGAACACCGTATAGATGCTTTAATAATGTAATGTCAGAGGTAGCTTGTTTTGCTTTCTGATATCATGAATGTTTATTGTTTTTTTGTTATTATTTCTTTTAATAATATTGTTGTATTTTGTTATATTATATAACTATATAGAGCTTACCAATACAGTTCCTAGGTCCTGCACTAAATGGTATATACGAATAAGGCAATTTTCCATCAATATCCGCAAATCTGTCGGGATTGAACATTTCAGGGTTTTTAAAATATGTACTTGGAATTCCTGTGAATGCCGTAGGCAAATATTAACAATGCGACTCCTCTAGGAAAGATAATACCATCTGCGGGGCAGAGAAAGATACCTACTTATACAATCCTTTATAACAACCGCCTAAAACCATCATACCATATTTTAATTCGTCACATAGGTTTCTGGAGTAAACAGGCACCGATGGATACAATCTCAAACTTTCTTTAATGACGAGCTCCAAATATTTCATGTTTTGCAAATCGTCATACGTAGTAGTAGAGTCGTCTTTACAATTAAATATTTTCTGTTGTTCGTTAAATACTTTTTCCTAAAGCAGAACAGACTAAATAAAAATCTATTAGCCACCAATCGTTAAATTTTGTTTGGTGGAGCAATTATTATTATTTGTACTATTACCTGGACGTTTTCATGATTTGCTAAACAAAACAATGTAAAGCTTATTGCTGACGCTGTAGTGTCGTGTCCCTATAATAAAATATTTTTTTTATTTGTCAACTATGTATCGTTAATTACTTGCTTCAAACATAAAAGTGTCCACTTCTTCTCTTATTTCTTCTTGAGTTAGAGACCTTCCATCTACTCGTGCGTTCAAAAGTAGATCCAAAAAAGGTGTTCGTTTTTTAATTCCGCAGTCATCATCTTCGGTCGCATTGGTTTCTTTATTTTGCAACTTTTGTAATGTTTGCCTAATAACAGTGTTAGATTTATCGTGTAAAATTTTCAAAGCTTTTCTTTGTGTGTAATAGTTTCTGGTCAAAGGATATAAGAAATCGTACATCTGCAATGGAGAGAAAGCTCTTTCGATAATAATGCGTGTCATAGCTTTAACGCTTTGGACATATTCAGACTGGTCATCATCTTGAGCGTTTATGGTCACTCCCATTGTACTTTCTGACAAGTGATTTAAAAAATGTCATTTAGTTTGATACTTAGCTTATATTAAAATATGTACCGCAAATTATGTCCAAAGTACATAACGTTACGTATGGATAAACATCAACAGCCGTTTTTCCAGTTTCTGTTTGTAATTTTTCCACTAACTTTGTACTACATGTTTCAAATATTCCAATAGACTCCTTTAAAATTTGAAAATGAAACGCCCACGTTAAAATTTTCCGATGTTTTTTCCATTTTATCCCTATTAAATCAGTCACTGAAGTATTTACATCAAACAATTAGAGGATGATACCATCACTAGTCAGCAAACCGGTTCCTAACCAAGGTCTTAAGAAATCATAACCCTTGGATTTACTTAACAGTTTCATACTACTCAAAATATATTCAAGAAATTTGTGGTCAGATACTACTATGACCAGAGCTGTTCAGTACTTCAAGTAAAAGTACTTCAAGTACTTTTCTTGCAGTACTTTTATATTTAGGTACTTGGTACTTGGTACTTGAAGTATTTCTAAAATGTACTTGAGTTTAGTACTTGATTTTGCCAAGTACTTTACTCCAAGTACTTCACTCAGTATTTTAAATACTCTTGAATTACTTGAAGTATGAAAGTGCAAATTTCAAATACTTTAGTCTCTATTTTACGAAGTTTTCACATCTCAAAATAGGGTCTGTTAAATACTTGAAGTTATTAATTCA